TCGTTGGTTTGGAAGAATCCCCAACAGGGGGCGCGTCGTAATTGAGTGCGGTACCAGTAACGAGCAGCGCAAAGGGTGGTGGTGTTGCCGTCCTGACCACAGCGAAACTTGCTTTGTAGAGAACTCGGATATGCAAAAAAATAGTACAAAACTTTCATTCATCAAACTAATCCGAAATAACTGGAAATATTAATAAGTCGACATCATCTCGTAAGTGACTAAACAGTACAACTCATACTCTGGTTCGCTGCGCGATGATGGGCGTCGTCCTGCGATCCCGCTTGGCGCGAGCCAACCTGTTTTTTTTTCGACAAACGACAGGACTACCATATCGCTCGTATCAGACGTTTTCCAGCAGTTGGTCTCCTTTATCGGAATCAGCAATTGGCGGAGCACGAATCTGGCGGCGTCGACAGGGACAGGAAAAAAAAAACAACATCCCCTGTGAGTGGCGCAAGCTTCGGACCGGAACACCGAAGGATACAGCATCCATCATACGCAACGGAAAACACTGTAAACAAGTGCACAGGTTCGCCATGGACCTCCCTGAATCCTATAGACACATTTGCTCGCGTGGACAGACATTACGCGCTCGCATTGCACCATCCCATCCACCTCTGCGCGGACCTCAATGCGCGGCGTATCCAAAGTTAACATGATTGGCGCTGAACAAACCATATCCTGCTCCTGCTCCACCACAGGATACGTTTTTCATGCGTTCCTGGTTATTCGAACACGCTCACTTGAAACCGTACACAGAAAACGGACTTTCGAACAGTTCGGAGTGTTCCCCAAATAATCCCCAACGCAATTATCTCATGACTCCCGGAGCTTCAAAAAAACGCATTCAAGTTAGTTTTGGAAAGAGAAATCTGTCTAAGAACTCGGACAGTAGTTTTCAGATTTCTCGGAATTGCAAACTATCAAAAACTCTCTAAAAACTCCCCAACGCGAATTTTCTCTATGAATTTGGCGAGCTTTATGAACATGTCAGTATGCTTTGGAAAGCTCAAATCTTTCTCTATACGAGTACGTTCCCTTCTTTCCCACAGGTCCGCTAATAAGGAAGTTATGGGCCCTGTTAAAGACACCCGCCACTTTCCGTAAAAAACTCGGCGCTCCCAATAAAAACCAACTGCAACCACCTTGCGGATGTGGGTCCTGCCCAGAATCCCTCCCCCGGTACCTCGGCCTTTAATCAGCTAATTTCAGCTGGCTTGCTATCGTTCGTATTTATTTGTTACATTACGTTTTTATTATTTCCGCTTTTCTTGTTGTGATGATGAGTCTGCTGGCTTTCAATATATTAGGTTATTAGGCTTATTAGGTTTAGGCTCGATACGATTTGGTTCCTTGCCGTTTCGGCTGCGGAGCTGGAAGAAATGCAGAATTCTGTTCAGATTCGCGCATTTCTGCTCACCGAGCCCCTCGGTTTGGAACCGGTCTAGACGTATTTTCCTTCTGTTCTGGCAAGTCGCCGCGACGAGTGAATGTCCCTTTTCAGCGTCTCTCTAACCATGCTCTCTTTCACTTGGAAACTTTTCCTGCGAGCAAACTTTTCATTGCGTCAACTTAGTACGCGCCGTTTTCATTTCATCCATTACGTGAAAACTGAATCTTGTCTTTGCAAGTAATTGTCTGCGTGAATAATGTTGTTGAGCCACAATATACTTGCGTTACTCCGCCCATTGCCTACTTTCCAGTACACTCTGTCCAAGTTTCCCTCCCGCTAACCAAAATGACCAGGAAGTAATCTCCCTTCGTGAATACTCATGGTACCAGTTAACCGATAGGTGGAATGGCATGCTTGCTGATCGGAAATCAAATTTGCTACTTTTCAGTTGCATTCCATTTTGTTGTTACTTTGAAAGTAGGAATCTAGGCAAGCCTGCCTGTCAAAAGTCGTTTCCAGAAGTTTTACTCACTTACACTCCTTATCAAATCATATCATATCAACGATAGGAGTTGACTAATTCCTAGCACTTTTTCCTTCGTACCCCATGAAAGACAGTTAATGGGCTGATGTTTGGTTCATTGGAGCTCTCGAACAAGGTGTTTGAGCACTTGGAGTTTTCCATCTTTGAAGTTTTCTCAGGATTGCCCTTCTGGCAATATTTGTTCAGCAAGCTCTGAAATCCAAAGCATTTCATCTCAGCATTTGCAGCGCTGCAGTCTCTAGTCCAGGTTAGCTATGCGCTAGGCGTCTTTCGAAAGCAAAAAAAATCTCCACTACTTTTGAAGCTATCAATGGTAATAAAGTTCCATAGATTATGTGACTGGAGAAGCGCTGCTGTTTTTGGCTGGTATCAGTTCGTCATGTGAATATCAGGCTTGACAAAAACCCTCGTAGTGTACATAAAACAGATAAAAAACAGAACAGAAGTAACACGAAAAAAAACCAAGCTCTCGTAAAAAGAGGGTGGGGGGGGTCGTTACCAACCTCCCTAAAAAGAAGGGCGGCAGGTTCCGTACGGGGTCTGACCAAAATCCGCCAACCAATGATGTGCTCACTGCTTCCCCGTGCTCGACAGCAAAATTTTTGGGAAAAAGTAGGGAAGTTTCGGGAAAATTCTTGAAAAAGTGGCACAAAGTTGGGGAAAATCTGAGAATTGGTAGAAGGAGGGGGTCGTATTGCCTCGCGGCTTTTCCTGTTTCACATGTGCTATTTATGCTCTCTCCCCCTCCCTCCTCCGCTCAGGGCTCGATTCGATGAGGAGAGACAGTGGGCCGGAGAGGGGGGGGAGGGTCGTACAAACCTCAAAAATGGGGGACTAGTACGGTTCCGACTAAAGCCCCATCCATTAATATGCCCTTTTCATGAAATATTCAGGATGAGTTACATACGTGTTAGAGATGAATTTCGGGTCGGGTTTTTATGCTTTATATAATAGATAACTTCTATGTCAAACGCATTCTTTTGCCGCAGACTAAAAGCGTCCGGTCAAAGCACAATATTTCCAGCACAATATTATTCTTTGCAAAAGGCTCTACCAGTTTTCTTGAGAATCCGCTCAGAAGACACATTAGATGAATTATCCTTGCGCGACATTCTGAGCCGCTTGAAAGCTGGCTCCTTCTGTGCCATTGTAAGGGCTAGACATTCGCAATTTTCAGTACTGTCTTTCAGACACATTATTCCGCTGAATCGAACAGAGCATAATTCGATTGTCATCGATCGATTTGGTCCGAACGTGCGCTGTGCATTACTCTTTACGCAGAGGTGGTCAAAGGTGTTATTTCTGATTTTGTTCATGCAAGCAGATGTTCGTTCAGGGTTTGGAAAGGTCGGAAGGCACAATTCCACTTGCGACGCATTATTTGTTAATCTACGTACTCGTGTGGATGCTGGCTATTGATATTGCTGATCAGTTTCTTTGATGTTTTGTAGTCCCTCATCAATCCCTTCATGCTGATCCACTGCAGCTTTTCCGTCCACTATATTTCGCGCTGAACCGGAAATTCTCAGCGTTTCGAGTGTTTCACTTTAAACGATGATAACTATCTTGATACTCATCGGCTTCAATTGAAATGAGCACCGTTCGAATCACCACATTTTGCCAATGTGATACCAGTCTTTAACTCCCATCAAATGAAGCTTGTGGATCGAGATTCACGAAATCTATGAGGAGGTTTTGCCTGGTCCTAATTGATGAAGTATTTTCCAGCAAGGAAGTTCTGAAAATGTTTGAAAAGGTGATAGTCGGTTGGTGAAAGGTCTGAAGAATATGGCGGGTGAGGTAGAACTTCAACCCCCAATTCGTTCAATTTATGGATAGTGATTTGTGAAACGTGTGGGCGGGCGTTGTCATGCAAAAGAATCGGACCCTTTCTGTTGACAAGTGCTGGCTGCAGCTGACGCAATTTTCGGTACATTTCGTCGATTTCTTCACAGTAGGACTCTGCTGTGATGGTTTGGCCTGGTGACAAAAAGTTATAGTGGATCACACCAGCCGATGACCACCACACTGTGACCATAATCTTTTTTTCGTGAGGATTCGGCTTTGGAAATTGCCTCGGTGGTTCGTCGGCATCCAACCACTGTCCGGAACGTCTCCTGTTATCATACATGATCCACTTTTCATCACAGGTGACAATTCGGTCCAAAAACGGGTCGTTTCTGTTGCGCAAAAGCAGTGAAGAAGAAACCTCGAGACGTGCCAATTTCTGCCGGTCACTGTGGGGCACCCACTTGTCGAGTTTTTTCACCTTCCCAATGCGTTTCAGACCATCCGCAACAGTGGATTTGCCAACGCCTAGCTTTTCTGCAATCTCTCGAACTGTTTGGGATGGGTCAGCCTCCACAAACGCCTTCAAATCCTCGTCAGGTATTGCTTTAGGTCGACCGCTACTTGTCGAACCATTGTCGCACGGTGCTTTCTCCAACACTATTGGGCCCCCACACCTGGTTAATTTGTCGAGCTGTCTCGACTGCGGATTGACCCAATTTGTAGTTGAAGAAAAATATCGTCCGAAGTTGCTCTTTTGACATGCTTCAAAAAGTCTTGGGAAAAGGGGTTTATCAAGCAATGGTGAAACGGCAATTATACCATCAGATAGCGCAAAAATTCTCTTCAGGATGTACTACTGAGACGCAAGGGAGAATGAGTTTTTAATCAGCAATGAATGTACAAAAAATAGTAACACAAAACGCTGAGAACTTTCCGGACAACCTAATAGATGTAGCGATGACACATTTGTACTGTTCGGTGCTCACCAACCCTGCGTTTACGACCCCTCCCCCCTTCCACAGCGGCCAAGTACGACTGCATTTAGGTTTCACACAGCGATGCAGCTCGGTGAGCGAACTAATTCCGTTCAGATTTCGAAATGAGACTGGCGAAGCCAAGTCAGTACGACAAAGCGGTCTCAAGAGAAGGAGGAGAGCTCGGCGCCGGCCGGGCGATCCCACTGGTTATCTAATGAATGGTGCCAGGGAATAAGTTGCAGTGCGTTCATGAATATGATGGTCCTTGGCAATGACTACTTGGCAAATCATCACTATTTATTTGCTTCCGTTTGAATATCTGGGATCCGATAGCCGAACAGAACATAATCGTAAAAATACATTTTGACTAGTAGTTTAAGAAGATAAGAGTTCGATAGTATCGCACGTCTCGTCTCTCTGTGCTCCACAGTGTCTTTTGTGCTATGCGGAGTCCGTTTCGACGCTACTGACAACTCTGAAAAAATTTATGTGATTCAATGATGAGACTTATTATGCGTGCAGTGACTTTGTGCACACATAGTTCCGTGTCCCTCACCGCTATTTGAAAACGTGTGGTGAGAACACCGGGGGCTCGTACTATGGCGCTGCTTGCACTAATCTGAGTCTGGCTCCACCCATAATATGCAGAGAGGTTCCACTTCCATTGCTTATATGCCTGGCAGGGCACAGCATTAGTTGGGGATTTTGGTGGAGCCCGTACGACCCCCCCCCCTATACATAAACTTATGAAGTTTCTTCCCCCCCCCGAGGAGGAAGAAACTTCATAAGTTTATGTATAAGTAAGCGCGAAAAATAGAAAAAGTAACAATCCTGAACGAGGCCCCCTCGCTTTTTGCTCATTTCTATCCTGATTCAGAAAAGAGAATAGAAAAGAAAGGCCATTAGGTTTCACCCACCTTTCCTCGAGTCAAAACAAACTCTGGTACCAATTGCAATTTAAAGAAAAAAAAACAGGAAATTAAGCCAACTTCTCCTAAAAGCACTCTGAGCGGTCCAAGCAAAATTGCTGGGGCGCGCTCTGACGCGTATTCGAGTAAACTGATAAGAAGATTAATATAGTCGGATATGTCCGAATAAACGAGAAGAGATAAACCACGAGAGTGAAGATGTAATATATCGAACAAGAGCCCAACGTTTAACAGTAAAAACCTATTTAACTGTTTCGGGAAGTCCTTCGGGATTCATTGAGGATGTGGCGAGTGGGGATTTCTTGGCGGGCCAGTTGAGCTCCGAGCTGCGCGAAAAAAACCGCGTTTCTCGTGTACACGTTTCAACGTGGGCGTGTGTCGATTATAACTGAGGTAACGGCATGAAAAGGCGGTTAGCCTGTGGTGGCAGCAGGATGCAGTAAACATATGGTTCGTTTAGGCGGCCGATCCACTGCTGACTTTGGATGGCGCGCCGCACGTGTAGGTCGGCGCAGAAGTGGTGGGATGGTGCAACTTGTGAATGTCTGTCCACGCGAGCAAATGTGTCTATAGGGTTCAGGGAGGTCCATGGCGAGTCTGTGTACTTGTTACGGATGTTTTCCGTTGCATATTGATGAATCATGTCCCTGTCGAACGCTGCACGAATTCGTGCTTCGCGAATATTGCTGACTCCTATAAAGGAGACCAACTGCTGGAAAACGTCTGATACGAACGATATGGTAGTCGTTTGTCGAAAAAAAACAGGTTGGCTCAGCGCCAAGCGCGATCGCGGACACGCCCCATCATCCGCAGCGAACCAGAGTATGAGTTGTAGTGTTTACGTAAGTGTGCACTTACGAGATGATGTCGACTTTTTATTTCCAGTTATTTCAGATTAGTTTGATGATTGAAAGTTTTGTACTATTTTTTTACATATCCGAGTTCTCTACAAAGCAAGCTTCGCTGTACAGGACACTGACACCTTTGCGCTGCTCGTTACTGGCTACCGCACTCATTACGACCCCCCCTCTCCTGGCGGCCAAATACGACCCCCCTGTTGGGGATTCCCCAACCAACGATGTGCCCTGATGCCTGGGCGTTCCTGGATTTATAGTGCGGCTGGAACGGGAAATCGAAAAATTATAAAAAATTTTCTCAACTCTGCCTGTTATATGATGTACAACGATGTATGAGGTGGTGAAGTTCGCAAATTGACGCGAAATAAGGAGGGAACCCAACAGCTGGGAGTGGAGAGGTCCTGTCGGTGGTAACATTCGAGCTCTCCGTGGACACACTTTGACATGTACAAGGCAATGTGAAGTTCTCCTTCTCAGTGCCATCCAAGATCCTGCAGTTATGCCTCTTCCGGGTGTTAAGGACTCATCCGAACTAATTCAACTTTACCCATTCTGATGTCACAACTGCACTACTCTAGCAAGCGAGAGAGCCACATCTTAGTAAATAATGTTGTGAATTAAGTTCGGTTCGTTAAGACAATGGTAACGTTATCGAGATCATGGGAAATGTCCTTACATCCTAGCTTTCGTTGAGCAGCTTCCACGTGTCCCACTATTGGTGGCTCTTATCATTTGTCACCAATAAACGTCTTCAAGCTCTCACTTCTTGTCCAAATTCCAGAATGAATGTGAAGTGAACGACGAAAAATATAAGGTTCAGATACTTGTCAAAGCGTTATCAAAAGTTGAGCGCAGCCGTACTTGTGCATCATTTTCAGTTGCTGTTTACGTGCGAAATAGCAGAAGTGCAAGCAAATCACACAAGTACGGAAGGAATTGTGGGAAACCATGGCCACGCTTCAAAAAAGCCGGCCTGTTGAAACTGGGCTTGCTGAAGCACGCAACTTGGTTTAGTTAATCAAATATCCTAGGTGAGGGATGTGTCCAGTTCGATCAAAAAATGTCCAATTCAAAATGAAAAGTGTACATTACGCTCCCCGATCCGACAAATCGCGAAAACTTCTGAGCATAGGGATTTTCCTAAAAATTTTGTTAACTTTTGTGCACACAGATCCAAATAAGCATGAGCAATGTGTATGCACATTGTTCAAGACACTGCGGTTGCGCAGTTGGGCAGTAAAAGGAGTTCCGAGGGATGCGCTAACTTACATTCCGCGACCGCGTGACAACACTATGGTGTGTCTCACGTCCAGCCCTCGCATCGAAAAAGGCCGCGGTCACACGTGAATGCCACGCGAACACGCGAAATAGGCGCCGGTCTGGAATGTGTTTAATGATCAGTGGAATTGAGGTGCTGTAGGTTTGAAAAGAAGGTCTTTCTGAGAATTAGAAGTTGCACCAGAAGACCTCATCCAAAACTCATCATCCTGCGCTCAATTTTTTTGAGGAAAAAAAATAGTCACATCAGTTTCCTCTTCGGAAAGGAGTGGTCACATCAGTTTTCCCTCCGAAAAGGATAGCGCCATGAGTCAACATACTGTGAAATATGAGTCCGAACTCTTTCAATTTCGCGCGTTTGCTTTTACCATCTCCCTGAAAGACAGCTCCCGCAATCGAGACGTTCGCGGAATGCTTTCACGCATCAAGCATCATTGTCTGCATTACACTAAACGGCGAGATGAAGAAGCTGGAGACGCGTGATAATCGCAACAATTGTAACCACTACTACTTTTACCCTACGAGACAACGGCTCAGAGACAACAGCTTGCTGCGTCGTAGAGTTCTACATGCTCTTACCAGGACCTGGTTGCACGTCGAAACCTCTGCTTGGGCTTGTCTAATGTCCGACGAACGTACAGGGCGCCGGCCCCTTGGTTCCCAAGGTTCTCATAGCTTCTTTCTTTGCTTGGGAGTTACTTATGGGCTACTGCCTGATGATTGAGCACCTGCTACCCGTAACACTTGATAGAATTGTCAGCACCTGATAACCGTAACACTTGATCGCAGGAATTGTCTTTAAAAGATGTCCTTCTGCAGCGAGGGTGGGGCACCGACCCATTTACAACTCTTAAACTTACAACAATACACATAAACAATAATACAAAACTTAACGGCACGGAGGATGCCTCGAATCAGAAAGTCGCATCCCCAGAGAGAACTTCAGCACATTGCGCCCCTCTGCCTTGTTTGCTAGCGGTGCACACCCGAGTTTAGAATGCTTCAAAGAATCATCATTTTATGTATTCCAAACTTGGTAGAGGGACTAGATGCAGGAACTTCTGTTGAAGCCAACATGAAGTTGCTCCCAATAGGTCTTGCCTTATTCTGTGTCATCTCCTCCAAAGAATGCCCTCTGTAATACCTGCAACGAAGTCGGAAAAAACAAAAAAGGAAAGCCTTACTTATGAAGTCAATTGACTTTGGTTGCACATTGCTCTTTCTCAGAACTGTCAGCAGATTTTCCATAAACCCTGATGGATTGGACGTATCGAAGTAGAGTATTCGAAAGTCGTGCAGGTGCGTGCCGAATTCGCACCGCCTGAAATCAATGACTCTTAGTTCTGAATTCATTGTGAATGCTCTGCCTCTTCTACACATTGAAAACACATTCCACGATGACATCTGGTCTTTTCAGATATGAAAACTATTGGACGCTACTTGGCCTATTTGTTAAGAAAAAAGGAGATAAGGTCTTGAGAAACGCCTGGCCATAAGGGCCCGAGCACTGGACCACCCTTTCGATAAACAGCACTGTCTGCGCGGTCGAGAATCCATACGTACATGAAAAAACATAATGGCGACCCCTTCCCCCCTCCCCCCCCACCTCAACACGCACAGCTTGCTTTCGTAAAGTGTTTCAGACGATACTATTCACTGTTTTGTGGAGATACGATTGTGGCGCCAATAAATTCTTCTCAGCTGAAGTGTTGGTGAGAACTCATTCACGCGGCTTTCACGTTTCGCCATTAGGACAGGTTTTTCGGATCATGAACAAAAACATGCATCAGTAGTACCAGAATTCTTTACAACTAAAGCTGAAGTTGGTCGAAAAAAAAACAGGAATTACTTCAGTACCTTTTATAGCGTCTCTGAGGGTCTTTTATCACTGTCATCTGTGAGTATGTACTATTCAAATAAGCAAAAAAGGAAATAAAGAGTTATTAGAAGATAGTGGAGCTGTCTATCACGTAGTGGAGCTGTCTTATTCAACTGATTACAGAAGCAACCTACAAGCTCAGATGTGTGGAACAGGTGCGACAAGAAGTATGGTTGCCGCCCACAACGACGTCATGAATAGCAAACAAACGGAAGACAGCATATGCTCGGACATCCGTACAAGTACATCTGGTTGCACTGAGGAATCCCTACTTAGAAGTGCGGCATGCTGGGAGCCGGAGGCATGGCTCAATACAGAGGTGATGTTGATTGACGCCAAATGGACTATTACTTGATAACAGGATGTGTTGATAACTTTGACGAAAGGATGTGTTTTAGAAGCATACCGCTCTTCAAGGGAATTTCGTCAGGTCAGCAACAAAAACACATCGGATTCTTTTTTTAAAAAGCCGACCGCCTAGAAAAGAAATGGGGATTCTGCAAAAAAGTAGGAGAAACATCTAAATCTAAATGGCACTGTCTCTGATTCTACGAGGGGTCACATAACAAGTAACTTACGGCTCTTCAAAGCATGAAAACTTGTAGGTGACAAACAATCAGTTTCGGCAACGACATCTTCACAACGAAGATGTTTCCCCTTGAAAAGGATGAGCTCGGAAACGCGTAAGCGCAGGCAGTGAATATCAATCCTACAGCTCAACGGTCCTGCTTAGCAATCTTTGAGAGCTTAACTCTCGAAAAGTTATGTGTGGTCAAAGGAGTGTTTCTGAGTCCCTGGCCCACTCTGAAAAAACACCGCAAGTATAAGGTTGTCCGGAAAGTTCTGCACGTTTCGAGGGTTTTACTTTAAACGATTATAATTTCTTAACGCTCATCGGATTCAATCCAAATAAGCACCATTCGAATCAGCACACTTTTGCCAATTTGATCAGCCGTCGAGAATCCATCAAGAAAAAACAGGGTGGTCGAGAGTTCACGAAATCCGAAAATAAGTGTTGGCTGCAGCTGACAAAATTTTCGGTACATTTCGTCGATTCCTTCACAGTAGGGTTCTGCTGTGATGGTTTGGCCTGGTGATAAAAAGTTATAGTGGATCACACCAGCCGATGACCACCAACCGTGACCAGAATCTTTTTTTTTTTTCGTGAGGGTCCGGTTTTGAAAATTATGCTGCGGTGGTTGCGTCGGAATCCGCTAACCACTGTCCGGAAACGTCCTCGCCGTTTTATCATACATGATCCATTTTTCATCACAGGTGACAATTCGGTTCAAAAACGCGTCGTTTCTGTTGCGCAAAAGCAGAGGAAGAGAAGAGGAAACCGCGAGACGTGCCAATTTCTGCCGGTCACTCAAATTGTGGGGCACCCACTTATCGAGTTTTTTCACCTTCCCAATGCGTTTCAGACCATCTGCAACACTGGATTTGCCAACGCCTAGCTTTTCTGCAATCTCTCGAACTGTTTCGGAATGGGTGCGGGTGCCTCCAAAATCCTCTTAATAACCCTCGTGCAGATATTGCTTTAGGTCGACCGCTATGAGGTTCATCTTGAAATCTCCAGAACGAAATTTGTTGAACCATTGCCGCACAGTGCTTTCTCTAGCACTATTGGGCCCCCACACCTGGTTAATTTGTTGAGCTGTTTCGATTGCGGATTGCCCCAATTTATAGTCGAAGAAAAAAATCGCCCGAAGTGCTCTTTTCACAATGCCTTCGAAAAAAAATCTTTAAAAGGGGGTTAATCATGCAATTGTGAAACGGCAGTTATAACCGATTAGTACCGCGGCAAAGAATTCTCTTCAGGATGTACTACTGAGACGCAAGGGAGAGTGAGTTTTTAATCAGCAATGAATGTTCAAAAAATAGTAACACAAAACGTGCAGAACTTTCCGGACAACCTAATAGCTCGTTTCACCGCAACATGTGAAGCCACGGTGTCAGTACGACCCCCTCCCCAGCGGAAAATAATTCTGGTTCGACCCGCTCTCCTTACTGGCGGCTCTAATTTTTTGTTCTGACGAGAAGGATTAGATACGGAAGACATACGGAGATACGAAGACATACAAGCGCTAGAGGGCACGTTATGATTCTACAGCAAATAAGCGGTGGAGCAGATCTGTTGGCCGGGTGTAAATCGCAACTCTCTCTGGGAGTGGTAGCTTTCACAAGTGTGGGGCCTTTTGAGAAATGGAAGGAGGCATGTTGAAGCAATGTCTCTGCTGTCGCATGTTCTACCTACCGCAGTCTGAGTCTTCTTTCGTTCGTGAAAATTTTCGTAATGGGTCGGACACTGGCAGTCCGCGAGCTAGTCTTTATGCTTCAACATGGCCTTCAAAATAGTATTTAAGCTTTGAGCTGATTCAAAGCCCAGTTTGTTATGGTCTAAATTCTTTTGTCGCGATTTCGATACGCTATGCATTAGGCTTCCTACGTAGACGTGGTGGGGAAAATGTGTTTTTTAATTTTAGGTGATTTTTCCACGGAAGCGGATGTTTGTTCAAGGTTTGGAAAGGTCGATGCGCACGAATCGGCTGCAGATGTTTTATTTAGACATCTACGTACTTACGAGTTCCAGCTAACTATTGATATTGCTGATCAGTGGTTTAGATATTTTGTGGTCTTCTCCATTCGGTCGCATCTGCAGGCATTTCCGGCTTCGCTCTAACCAAATCTTAACGATGACACTTTTGTGCTGTTCGGTGCTCGCAGACCATGCGTTTACGACCCCTCCCCTCTCCAGTGGTCTAGTACGACCTCCCCCTTCCCCATGGGTTTCGCAGAACGATGCTGTACCCTGCCGCAGCGATTTCGCTAAATGTGTAGCTGATGTTGACAATGAGCATCAAATTCTCTTGAACGTCGAAGGATTTGCTATATCGGCTCTTGTCATACATCATGAATGCTGCCATCTTGTTACCTTTATCACTTGTCAGTGTGGAAGGTATGCCATCACAATCGGGAACGCTGCATTTGAGTGATGTTATATTTGCAGCGCTTCAAATCACCTTCAGTCAAATGGTGTCGCTGTCTATGTTTCCTGCTCCTCCTGCATAACAGAACCAGCGTCCTACTGCTGATAAAAAGCGCACGTTGAAACCACGGTGCCTTCTCGTACCCCTGATAGGCTTCTATCCACTTCTACAGTGAGGAAGGAGCAAAAAAAAATAAAGACACTTTTCTTTCTAGACTTTCAAGGCGGTAGAAGTTACACTTGATCAGATTCTGATTGGTCATTTTCACCATCAAATTCAAAAACGCATCGCACACGACCATGAAACTCCGCCACAGCCTTTTACATGAGCGCCATTAAAAATTTGACCGCTCGACGGTGTTTTGGTGCCTGAGTTGAGCGAGGCCGTTGCCTCCTCCGTCATTGTGGACCATCATCTTGAGCTCCTCCCGAACATGGTAATCGAGTGGGTTTGCCTCAGTTTACACGATTGGATATTCCGTTTTCTTCGCGCTTTTCGATTCCAAGTAGGCGAGAGTTTTTCCAACGCCCTTCGAAACCATGTGCTGGCATCCAATCCTGTAGCAGTATAAAGCTTCCAAGATAGCACAGGCGACGTCCTGAAGGCGGGATATTCTCCTCGAGGTGGTAGATGTAACCGTCAGTCACTTTCAGAAGAAAATATGGCCTTCCCATTCAAGGAACGTCGGGTCCACCCTATGAACCTGCGCCTTGGCGACTGTGGTGAAGATGATGTCCTGGACCATAGCGACGTTGGCGGAGCTTCCGATGTTGAAGCTCCTTCAGATCAAGAGTGCTTGTCTCCAGCTAGCTGTCCATGGGTGACTCCATACAAGGACCTTCGCAGCTGTTTGGAGATGACGTAAACTCCCTAGGCCATCTCCGGTCCGGTTGCGATTGGAGATGGCTTTAAATTTCGGTGTACATGATGTCGACGGACAAGGGGGTGCTCCCGCCTATTGAGGAACATTTAGTACCTTCCGTCCTGGTACACGTATCCACGTTTCCTGTCTGGGCTGCGTAAACTTCTTGTATGCGGCTGCTGGGCTATAAAGTGTTCCTCCCTCTCTTCCCCGCCCCCCCGTATACCGCCCACCTCTATATCGCATTATGGAAAGAAAAAGGTCGCTATGACGTCCGCTATAAACTTGCAGCTCTTTCTGGCGCATTTCATCAGTACTGATTCACATGCACTTCACATAACAGAAGTTCTCGTAAAGTTAAGTTCTCGCCCACTCCGTAGAAGTCCCGCCTTTTCAAAGTGCTTCATACCAGCAGGTCAAGAGTCTTACGCTATTAGGTTGTCCGGAAAGTTCTCAGCGTTTTGGGTGTTTCACTTTAAACGATCGTAACTTTTTTAATACTCATCGGATTAATCGAAATAGGCACCATTCGAATCAGCACACTTTTGCCAATGTGACAGCAGTCGAGAAATCCCATCAAAGTAAAAAACTGGGTGGTCGAAAATTCACGAAATCCACGAAGGCTTTTTTGCCTGGTCCTGATTGATGAAGTATTTTCCAGCAAGGGAGTTCTGAAAATTTGAAAAGGTGATAGTCGGTTGGCGAAAGGTCTGAAGAATATGGCGGTTGAGGTAGAACTTCAACCCCCAATTCGTTCAATTTATGGATAGTGATTTGTGCGTGTGGGCGGGCGTTGTCATGCAAAGGAATCGGACCCTTTCTTTTGATAAGTGTTGGCTGCATCTGACAAAATTTTCGGTACAATTCGTCGATTTCTTCACAGTAGGGTTCTGCTGTGATGGTTTAGCCTGGTGATAAAAAGTTATAGTGGATCACACCTAGCCGATGACCACCAAGCCGTGACCAGAATCTTTTTTTCGTGAGGGTTCGGCTTTGAAAATTACCTCGGTGGTTCGTCGAAATCCAACCACTGTCCGGAACGTCTCCTGTTATCATACATGACCCATTTTCATCACAGGTGACAATTCGGCCCAAAAACAGGTCGTTTCTGCTGCGCAAAAGCAATGCAGAAGGAACCTCGAGACGTGCCGATTCCTGCCGGTCACACTCCGATTGTGGGGCACCCAATTGTCGAGTTTTTTCACCTTCCCAATGCGTTCCAGACCATCTGCAACAGTGGATTTGCCAAGGCCTAGCTCTTCTGCTATCTCTCGAACTGTTTGGGATGGGTCAGCCTCCAAAATCCCCCTAAGATCCTCGTCAGATATTGCTTTAGGTCGACGCTATGAGGTTCATCTTCAAAGCTGAAATCTCCAGAACGAAATTGTTGAGCCATTGCCGCACAGTGCTTTCTCTAGCACTATTGGGCCCCACACCTGGTTAATTTGTTGAGCTGTTTCGATTGCGGATTGCCCCAATTTATAGTCGAAGAAAAAATCGTCCGAAGTGCTCTTTTCACATGCTTGAAAAAATCTTGAAAAAAGGGGTTTATCAAGCAATGGTGAAACGGCAATTATACCATCAGATAGCGCAAGAAATTCTCTACAGGATGTGCCTACTGAGAAGCAAGGCAGAATGAATTTTATCAGCAGTGAATGTACAAAAAATAGGTGCACAAAACGCTAAGAACTTTCCGGACAACCTAATACTAGGGGTCTCTTTGTCCTCTGAACAAACCTTGCCTGCTTTTTGCTTTGGGGTGACGAGTGAAACTCTGACCTAAAGATGTGACTACCCTCTCACAAGTTTCAAAACATTGCGGTTCACTGCCGATATCTTGAAGACATCAATATCCTGCAAAAATCCTGGCAAAATGATGCAAAAGGCGAGGCTGAATGGTGGAGCTAATGTGGCGCACGCTTTCGCGGCTATGAGCGTCACTGTCTTAAGAGGTAATTATCCAAGTTGAAAAAAGTTATGAATATTTGGAATAAGTCACAGATACCCTAGGAAGTGGGAGGAGTCGAAGTAGCTAAAGGTTCTTTTCACAATTAAAGCATCCTAAACACTGGCACTCTTTATGTCTTCGCGAATGGACCTACCAATTTTGTGGGGAAAAGTGATCGTCGTCGAAGTTTGTAGGGGAGTGGACTCCTTTAGCACGTCTCAACAACCGTGCGTACTGTCGTTATCGCATGAGAAGGCACTTTAGGTTCTGTAAAAAAAACATTCTGAGTAGTTCCCGACGCGATTCTAATGCCGCATTCATGTATCACATCGTATTTTAGCAGAGTACTGTCTTACCGACTTACACCTGTTACAGCGATTCGGGAACTTCTTCCAGGTCTTCTCCCTGGAATTAACAACAGTCATAAGAATTGGAAGATACAATATAGCTAGCTTATTTCTTGAGGTTAACGTAGCCAAAGATACCCCAGTTCTCCTTCTCCCTTCTCATCAGTTTCTGTAGTTAAGCCTCATTTAAGTACTGAACCTGCATTGTACATGCGTCGGAATACTGGCATGCCACTTTGAGTAGAGAACAAACAGGTAGAAAAGAGCTCAATATTCTTTTTCCGAATCAGCTATGCACATTGAACACAGAAAAATGCAGAATTGACATGGATCTCATTGTCAGAGAAGGAGGGTTGGGTTAATTTTTTCGACCTAGCCTCTTGAATATTAGTTTTTCTGGAGTATGGGCAGGCCTTCGCCTTGAAGGGAAAGTACGCTGATCTCACAAGTGCCTCACTTCGCCGAGTTAACAAAATTTGGCCTCTTTCCGTTCTTATGAGATTTCATAGACCTGTCTGAATTCTAACCTGAGGCATTTATCCGCAAATCCGGAGACAAATTTCTCGAGAGGGTCCCGCACCACCGCTATTTTGTGCCAATCACTGGTACTGCTCGTCATATTCCTCTCGATCTCGGCCAGAGTATTGTACTCATTCCTCCGAGCGCAAAATCTGGAAAAACCGGTGCTCTACAGGACAAAAGTATTGCAATGTGAGTACAGGGCTTATTTATGTGTAGGACACAAGAGAAATTTGTGGTAATATTCAAGTGCGATGAGCGACTCCGACGACTGAAGGCATGGCCTGCGATCGCGTAAGAGTAGAAATATGACGTCATTAAAGAGTTTTTGTGGTCTAGCAAATCTGAACTTTGTACCAGTTTTGGCAGGCAAAAAAAACATTGTAAGAGGGGCGCTATAGCGGAGCACAGGTTCAGTAACCTTCCTTTTTTTCCAGTGACTGCCTCCACACTCTGCCTTCAAGATCGGCTTTTCAGGAAAAACGATGCTGCGCGAAGAAAAAAAACCGTCGTTGGAAGCGTCCGTTGTGTCCGTAGAGGCTCACATCGAGGAAAGGCTATGTCACGAAGTAATCTTTGATGGGGGTCCTGCTGCAAAAAGCTGGACAAACAAAGAACTGTGGCTGCTGCCGCATAGAGAGGTACATAAAAACATGTCGCGAGCAAGGAGACGACTTTTTTCAAGAGAGCAGACACCAGGGTGGATGAGTCACCTATTATGCGTGGAAAAATCGGAGCGTTAAAATGTCAGAATAGTCACAAAACGCTAGCAGACGTTGAAGAGTGCTGAAGAAAAACAGAAAGTTTGGCGTCATTGAAGGGATTGCGTTTGTAGTTTGTTCATAGAGCCCGCATTCCTTGGAATTAGCTGTGTGAGGGGCAGCGTAAGACTTGGATGAGCCTCGGTTGGGCACGTACAGAACTGAGGTGCTAGCTGGGGTAAAGTTGACCTTCTGGCTTTTCTCTTTACTATCGAGTTACACAGCACCTTGTCGTCTACATGCGTACCCTGACCCACTCTCTAAGATGGCGAACTATCCCGAATTTTTTCTTGAGAATGCGTGAAAGTTCAGAAGGCAGTTCACACCTTCATCATAAGGACCTCCAACCAGGTCACCAGTGTTTACCACCTCAGCTGCTGCAAGGAGTGCAAATTTCTTGCTTGGTGGAATTTCTAGTGTTTTTCAGCTGAAACTGATGTCTGCGAATCATTCCTTGTCGTAGGTCTAGATTACGCCCCAATCTTAGAGATAAACAGCTCGGAATGGGAACCACCTTTTCACAGCTTGAAGGTCTAGTAGGCACGACTTAGGCAGCGTTTCAGAGACTTCGCGACAGCAGTCACCCAGCCCGCGCCCATTCTGATCGATTCGATGCCACTCGAAAGAAGGCGCATAAGTTGCTCGAACGCGCGACCGAGGCGCTGTATTCGAGAAGTTTGAACGCTACTAACATTATGAATCGGCATCCTGGTGTTACAACAATAGAGCAATCGAAAATCCGATACGACTCGGCTATCCTCACAAGGGAGGATGGTAGGTCGAAGTGGCTATTTGAAATGAGATGTATACCGACTGAAGGGTCTTTGGACGAGGATTACGAAACCGTCTTCCATATCTGCTGCGGACCTGGCAGAATAAAGATACGGGGCCATTTTAGGGGGAGCATAGTGGCATTCAATACGAATTAGGGGCGTGAGGCTTCACCGCTTGAAGCGGCGTGGCCGAGTGGATACGTTGCACTTCTCGCGGCCACATTGTCGAGGGTTTGGACCCTTAAGGCGTTTTCTGTTTTGCATTTTTTCAACAATGGTCCTATGCATTAAAAAGCATTTTTGCATAATACTTCGTGCTCGAGAATGCCGCCAAAGAATGTTTGTGAACTAATGGAGCCATTGTGAAGAGCTCCATGAGAACATTCTCGGCTGATGAACTTGTCACAGACTTCCAGCAGGTACGAAAGCACCACTTTGGGATAGGACATCTTTCAACACTATGGTAGTGATGGATGAAGGTTTCTCCCATTGTGAACTCCCGCAGTCACTCCAAAGTCACCGATCTTGGGAAGCCTTTTCAAGGATACTCATCTGTGCGCACAACTTCGTGTGGTTTCGGGTCCAGCCATGTCGTTCGGAGATAAAGCCATTCATCAAGGCAAGCACATTCGTTGGAGTGCATTCCTTTTGTACAAAAATAAGCTCCTTGAAGCAATAAAGAAGAAATCAAGAAATCAGAAATCCAAGAATGGGCACTATTTACCCTACTGCCCCAATCATCGGAAATCTGGCCAGTTTTGACCGACTTTTTTTCCGTGGGCAGAATTGGTCAAACATTCGTACACTGGGGTAGTTTGAGCTCCTGAATACGAATATCACACTCGCTCGACCCGAAACCTAATGGCGCTCGCGCCACAGGCGCCGGCGCCAAAATACCCCAAATCACCGGCGCCTGTACCGCGGGCGCCGAGAGATTTTCGGCCAAGCGGATGTGTTATTCGTATTCAGGAGGTTAAACTACCCCAGGAGACAACATTCGAGCCAAGTCTGTCCACGGAGAAAAAACTCGGTCAAAAACTGGCTCGATTCCGGATGATTGGGGCAGTATAGGGTGAACAGTTGCCCGAAGAATGTTCTCCAGTCCACCATGGCTCCATCGGTTCAGAAACACTCTTTGACGATTCTTATGCACGAAAATTATGCAAAATGCTTTCGAGTGCAGAGAGACCATTGTAGAAAAATGCAAAACAGAAAACGCAGCAAGGATCCAAACCCTCGACAATGACCGCGAGACCTGCAACGTATCCACTCGGCCACGCCGCTTCGAGCGGTGAAGCCTCACGCCGCTAATTCGTATTGAATGCCACTATGCTCCCCCTAAAATGGCCCCGTAACTTTGTTCTGGGAGGTCCGCAGCAGATATGGAAGACGGTTTCGTAATCCCGTCCAAAGACCCTTCAGTCGGTATACATCTCATTTCAAATGGCCACTTCGACCTACCATCCTTCCCTTGTCAGAAGGACGACGAGCTTCGTTGGTAGCTGATCCTGGGTTCTGCGCCTAGATCGAGCACGTGTCAATGGTGCCACATGAAACTATTCTGCCTCCGCTCTACCCAACTGATAATGTATACACTGCTACTCGATTACATTTTGAACTGCTTATCCTAGTTTATTATCAGTTTATGGGGGAATTAATAAGTTGAAACTGTCGAGAAGCATCTCAGTGCCTGCTCTGAGTTTTTGCTTAAAGGTGAATATTTATTTAGTCCGAAATAGAGCATCTCACTTGCAATTTAAAAAAGTCTGACAGAACTACAGCAAAGGCTTTTGAACGTCTCTCTTTTTTTGCCTGAACCCTCACAGCTAGCGAAGCCACCTTCCGAAAATGTTGTATAGGGCCACTGCTGAATTGTAAACAGGCGTTGAAACCGCCCTCAAACTTAGTGTGAGCAATATTCTTACCGTTGATGGTATGCCTCCGTAGAAAAATTTCTGCTGTTCTTGAGAAAGTTCTCTTCGTCGAATAAGTAACATAGAATCGCTGTTAACATTGTCGAGAAGTTTTTTTCGACAGCACAACCAATCAGGCGATACTTCTCAGTGATCTAAAGTTTTCTTGCTGTTAGTGCTCTTTCATTATAATTGTGGATATTTTTCTTCGTGAAGGAAGGGTGGGTACAGCATGCGGTATTAAGGTTGCGCTACCACGCCGCCTGAACTCGAATTCTCGCGACAGAGTCCCCGCAATCAGATGCAAACGGGTCAGCGACAAAGCTAATCGGTCCCCAGAATATACTTCTCTCACAGAAATGTAAAAAAAAGAAAAACAACAGACAATAAAGCCGTATAGAGCTTGCCTACTTAGGGAAAATATTCGTGGAGATGCTGCTTCGAGCAAAGCTCAATATGTGGCTGATGCCGCAGCCTTCGTAATCGTTATTACCCTTCCCATCGGGGTTTCACTCAGATGTTGGGATGGGAGTCATATCTTGCTTTGCGAGAAAATTCTCGATTGTCGATTTTCCCACTTCCGGGTAAGATACCTCTCCCTAGTTGAGGCGAACTAAAAATATCACCCACTCTTTGGACATGAGGCGGCAGGCACTTACGTAGTCTAATCCAGAGCACAGCATTCGACGGGGTCCAGCTTTGACGACCCCCCCCCCTTTTTTCAGGGGCTGGTACGACCCCCCCCCCTTCCCCATGCTCCTACGATGGCTGACATGGCTGACTGTGGTTGTGGTTTATACTCGGCGAAAAAGTTGTCGAGCGGGGGGTATGTAGTAGGCATGCGACGTACATCGTACGGGCGTACATAGTACCTATAACACAGAAAATTCATAAAACTCATGAAGTGAACCTGGCCAGAAATACGACCCCCCCTCCCAACAACGACCAAATACGACCCCCTCCAAAACGTAAACAAAGCGAGAAAAATCAACTATACACAAATAAATTTTTGTCCAAGCCCAAATACAGCACCCCCCCCTCTTGCGGCCAATACGAACGCCCAGCACCCCATAGGGAATCCCCATCGAACGCTATGCCCTGGTCTAATCTTCTAACTGGTCTTCCAACACTTTTTTTACTTGATATAGACCATTCGCGTAGACTATAACAGCCAAAAGCACGGATTTGGAAAGCAAGAGGAAGCACTCGGCTATTTGTTGCAAAGGTGCGGCTTTATAGAGGCTGCGCCTTATACCCTGAAGCTTACATCTGATAGTTGATCGGAAGTGTCTACGTGCCTTTCTCTCGCCAGCAAGTCTTTGGGATCTTTTGATAGCAAGCGATCTGTTGGGCTCGCAGCGGGAGGCGATACAACAGGCTGTTTAAACTTTTTTTGAATGCTTCTATCGTGAGTATGAAGCGAACGTGCCAAATGAAATTCTTACGCGATATTTCGTTCTGTATGGGTACAATGCAGGAACACACACTTCCTTATCCTCTCTTGTACAATAACTGACTGGTTGACTCCTTCTTGGCGCTTTCTCCACGATTTTAATTAAGGGATTGATCTCTGAAATCAGAATGTTTCACGATAGTATCAATTGAGGATTCATTCAGAGTGCCTCATGATGTTAAGGAGTCCAATACCCAAAGTACGAGCGGAAATCAGACCGACCCCTTGAGGGTCTAGTGTCCCTTCCACGCCAGCATAACCTGACCCAAGTGGACTTCACTTTAGGAGACTAAGCAGTGGATTTACCCAATACTGTAGCAGGACACAATGCGCAGTCGTGTCAGTGCTGAGATCTCTTATATTCATGAAGGGCGCAGGTGAACTTTCATCTTGTGACCTTTGATAGCAACGAAGCGATTGAAACGTTTGCCGAATGAGGGTTTCCACATAGAAAGCTCGTGGCAGAAACAAAAGAACAAAGCCAAGGCTGACCTTCGGGCGCCTCTTTGTCTCTTCGGAAATGTGTGGCAAGTGAGCTTGCAAGTGTCAGAAACCCTCCCTCCTCACCAAGTTCATATAAAAGTAAAACTACTCCGTGGGCTGAAGACACTACGTCTCAGTGCATATGGCATCGTTGTCCGCACTCGCAAGAATACACCACTTCCGTTGGTGAGATAACGGAGCTAGAGACGCGAGAGTTTTGCAACCGGTGCAACAGCGTACTGTAACTTTGCAAGAAAACGGCTTACAAGGCTCACAATGGCGCCTATGTGCGCAGCGTCCCCTGGAGCGTCGTAGTGCGATTTCCTATGCTCTTGCCGGCAATCGTTTGCACGACGAATCCCGCTGATTGCGCTTTTCCCCGTGATTCATTCTGCTTTTTTTTCTAGAATAGCTTCCTTTTATACAATTTTTCAAAAGAATGCTCTGTAAGGAAGTCGCGAATAAGCGCACATGCTCCTTCACTACAAAGCATTTTCACAAAGTTTTTTCGAGATATCCGTTCTGATAAGAAAATTTTTCGTCGTCCCTGAAGGACTTGGCTGTTGTACTATGTTTCTTCGCACTATTCTGCACAGCCTTCAACGAATAATTCGAATAAGGCGAATGAATAATAATGTCAATCGTAAGGGGAAAAAATGTAAGTGAACAATCTATAATCCTGCATTGAAATACAATAAACATGATTAAACATGAAAATACAAAAATGAATTAAAGGCAGTTGGCACGATGATTTGGTGCTCGGCCTAAAATGCTAGTAGGGCGCTATATAGTGGGGGAAATGGCGAAAGAACGGAGTGAAACGGTCAAAATCCTGCGAAGAAAGAGCCTCCGTTCTCACTGTGTAATCAATTTTGGACGAGTTTCCCGTAGGCATCTTGCCAATAACCGCTACCGAAGGTACGGCTGCATATGTGTACTCATATATCCATGCAGCATCACGGCCGCTTCATACCAATCCCTTGGGTTCATTTTTTATACCCGCCGTAAGTGTTCAAAAAATTACGAAAAAAACGCCGATCCGCGTTTTTTTCGTTTTTCGTTATAGAGCTGTTCCTGTTGACTTTTTGTATAGATACCCATATATGATTAGAATCAGCTCGCCGAGCTGTATCCGAGGGTATGCTCATATTCTACGACATTGGGTTTTGGCCGGCGCCATTTGGCGCCACTTTGCGACACCTTAGCGCCACAACTTTTCTCAACAACATCTGTATAAACTTGCTTACTGGGGCTATTCAGTGCCCTGTTCACGAAAGTGGCATTCATTTCTAGCCGTGGCGCCATTTGGCGCCATTAGGTGCCGATTTGGCGCCACTAGCGCCACTTTGGCGACACGACCTTTCCCAAAAAAAATCTGTATAAACTTGCATAATGGGGTTTCTCGGTGCCCTGATCACGAATGTAACATTCATTCCTAGCCATGGCGCCGTTCGGTGCCATTTGGTGCCAATTTGGCGCTACCCCAGTTTTCGCCAAAATTGATAAAAACATGCATGGGGTGGTGTGGTTCGATGCCCTAATCACGAATCGCCAGCCTTAGCAGAGTGATCGTAGAGTCCATTAGCGCCGGCGCAGAAAAAAATGGACGTCATACTCGTAATTAGGATGTCAAGCGACCCGGTATACAAGTGCTCAACAATTTTGGTGATCTAGTGTTTGGCGCCAGCACCGATGGCGCCAAACAGTTAGGACCAAGCGGTTATGACACTAAGTTCAGGAAATTAGCCGGCGCCTGTGGCACAAGAGCCAAGCGGATGTAATATTTGGTTCTATGGATCACACTATCACGGGGACAAGTTCGCAACCAGTCTGCTGTTGCGAACTGCTTTGGCGCCGGCGGTAGACAGGTGCCAAGCGCACAAGATATTCGTATGCACGCAGTGAGACCACTCTAGTTGATTTGGCGATCTGCGGTATTTTTGACCGACTCTTGACCCTGATTTCCTGGAAGTTCCCTCCATCAATTACACCGATGCAGAGTCCGATCGATATGCCTTGGTCGGCTCAGACTGTATGTGTTATAATGATCACGTGAATGTGAACTATAAAGACATGCAGTAATCACGTGAACAAGCGGCTATGGTGAGCGCAGAGCCGCCAGCGCCGCAAGCTCACGTGATTTATGTATGCTCTGCAAATGACGATCACGTGACCATTCCACAAACCAGGCGAGTTTATAAAGATTTTGGTGAAAAAAGTAGTGGCGCCAAATTGGCACCAAATGGCACCGAACGGCGCCATGGCTAGGAATGAATGTTACATTCGTGATCAGGGCACCGAGAAACCCCATTATGCAAGTTTATACAGATTTTTTGGGAAAGGTCGTGTCGCCAAAGTGGCGCTAGTGGCGCCAAATCGGCACCTAATGGCGCCAAATGGCGCCACGGCTAGAAATGAATGCCACTTTCGTGAACAGGGCACTGAATAGCCCCAGTAAGCAAGTTTATACAGACCTTGTTGAGAAAAGTTGTGGCGCTAAGGTGTCGCCAAGTGGCGCCAAATGGCGCCGGCCAAAACCCAATGTCGTAGAATATGAGCATACCCTCGGATACAGCTCGGCGAGCTGATTCTAGCCATATATGGGTATCCATACAAAAAGTCAACAGGAACAGCTCTATAACGGAAAAACGAAAAAAACGCGGATTAGCTTTTTTTCGTAATTTTTTGAACACTTACGGCGGGTATGTAGCAAATGAATCAATTTGATCGTCTGGAACGGTCGTCCATTTAAATATTTATTTGCTTTCAAACTTCACACGAGGTTGGTATACACAGTGAACGGCTAACGTTTCGGCACGATTGCCTTCTTCGGAGCCTGGAAGTGGAAATCAATTTATGATTTAGACGACCAAATGTCATACTACCCTACGAGACCTTCGAGACCCCCTAGCCATCACATAATTAATAGGAAAAACCAAGTACCGTACCTTTGAGATCACGAGATCAGCCGTTGTTCGACGATATGGTGGTTTGTCGCCCGTGATCGTATCCAGGTTCCGGTAGGAAGGCTAACCTTATATAGGGGGTTAGCTCGCGCGTAATTGACACGCATTCTCCCCTGCGGTTCATTTTTGGATTCGTGACCCGAATCCAAAATGCCTCCAGGGTTTTGCGCGCGGATGTTTGAGTTGCATACGCAAGGATATTGACCGTGACCTCAAAATCCTCTCCGTTATGACTTTCGACCCTGTGGCAACCAAGGGCTGTCGAGGTACGCGACCTGACCTTTCCATCCAAATGCTCCCTAACCCGCACAAACAGAGGTCTAGCCGTCTCACCTATATATTCGTCTCCACATTTTTGGCATGAAATTTTGTAGACCACCCCTGTAATCGCACAGTCACCGGGTCTGCCAGTGGGACAGACTACGCAGTCTGCTGTTTGACATGTGCGGTCGTAGAGACGATTCCGAATGAGACGTCGCTTCAGGTTATCGGGAGGGACCTCCACTACCCCAACAATATTCTCCAGACCCGATAACCTCATAAATTGATTTCCACTTCCAGGCTCCGAAGAAGGCAATCGTGCCGAAACGTTAGCCGTTCACTGTGTATACCAACCTCGTGTGAAGTTTGAAAGCAAATAAATATTCAACGATTATGCCGAGGTTCATCGAAAGCCGGACATGGCGGTCATCCATTTGTGGGCGGGCGGGCGTGGCGGGCGTTTGGGACGTAAAGTTGTGGCTTGATAGGGCCCTTATAAGGGCACCTTCCTTGGAAAAGGCATTATGCAGCGCCTGCTCAGGGTCGCGGAATTCCGTCCTGCCAGGCGTATTAGTCCTACTCGTCTTGGAGGATTTATCGTGCCAACTGCCTTTAAGCGCAAAGAATGCCGTGTCAGTTTTCTGGCGGTCATTGAAGAAGTCGTCCTCGTCCGAGAAACTCGTGCAAGGCGCCGGCCGGCCCAACTGCTGTGGGGGGGGGGTGTGCTCAGGGTGTCCCCAGACTGTTTCGCTTCTTTCTCCACTGATGAATTTTTGATGGGCTTCTGGTTTATGACTGAGCATCTGCTTGTCTGTTACGCTGGATCGTGGGAATTCTCGTTGAGGTTTCCTCTTCTTCATTGTTTTTTTTTCTTTTATGGGTGCGGCAGTACCACTCTTGCTAGCGATAAATTGCTCCCTCGCCGAAAACATCTTCGTCCCTGTTCACCTCATGCTCATCCAGAGAGGAAACCGACCGGATCATGTTTTGGGAATTCTCAACACTTACATCTACTCTTCCCAAATAGCAGTAAGTCAAATAGCATCTAAATACACTCGAAACCCCTTAGAAATGGTAGGCGTGGCTGCGTACTTGAACTATGTACATGTGACGGCAACTGGGCTTTTCGCGAGATATCTTGACTCTGAGAGTGTTATAATCGTGCCACTGTCCGACACAGGACAGGATGTTGCTCCGAACTGAAGTATCTCACGAGTCACCCACGCTATGCATTCCCAGGGACAAGACTATGTGCTTGAATACAAAAACCATCACCCGATTTCTAACAACAGAACGTGTTTTTGATTCAGTTTTCTAGCATTGTCAAGAATTGGTGAGGCGCATTTGCAGGATAGTGGGTTCCCCGCAACATTTTTTTCCGAGTGTTTTCTGTGCGTCTTTGTCCAG